GAAGCAGCTGATGATGATTGCTCTGTTGCTAGTTCTATTTTCTCTATGGAATAACAATGGAAGAACGTTCCAGATTTAAACTGGTTGATGAGCATGAGAAATGTGAGCAAGTTCAGCAGGCAGTGATAATACAAAAGTTAACAAGTTATCAAATACAGGCCTTGATGAAGCGAAGTTCTAACCAGCTCTGGTCTAGGCCTCCTAGCGCTCTTCATGACTAAAACACGAGGAATTATAGTGGTATATAAAACAAATATTACTTTTAAATTTTAATCTGGTCATAGTGCCATATACCCCTCAACCCAATAAACATTTGTACAGTATATTATTACTGCATCATTATTTTAATTACAGGTATTACATTATTATCATTATTGTTTGTAGCTATTATTAATACTACTGTGTATCATTAGCAGCTTTTCAGTGTGTATTTTTTATCTTAAATTGATTTGGTTACAGCATAGGCAGGTGAGAACTGGCCCCACAGCAAGATTATCCAAGGGCCGTAGGCCAGAGTTATGGCTAGGATACCGGGAGCCATTAATTTTCCTTGGTGCGTAGATGAATCCCCAAAATCTCTGAAATTTTAATTGTCTGGATCAATATTATTGAATTTAGAGAATGAAAATGATAGGACTAGGTATAGGCCCTAATTATACCAAATTTACATGAAATTTATTGTAAGACATGCTTTTTTTCTTTTTACCACTACTCCTAGGTTAGTAATAAATAATAATCATTGTCGGAACCCGCTAACTATTTCAAGAGGGGCCTATGCGGTTGCAGTAGTTACAGTATTTGGAAAACTAAACAAGAAAACTGTTGCCATGTAGAACTAAACAATGAACATAGTATTCAATAATTGCTACTCTAAAAAATATATTATTGAGGGCCCATTGGTAGCATTTTCTTCAACAATATGAAGTTGACCTATTTAAAGTGGGCCCTTATTAGCCCTAGGCATCAGTGTGCTGCCCATCCGTATGCTACTGGCTGACCACACCACCACATGTACAGTAAGTGTTCATGATACCGGTGGAAGAAAATGTTGCATTGGCAATTGAAATGATATTATAGGTGGTGTTGGCTAGTTTCTAAATGATGTTTTCTTATGATTTATACAATTCTTACACAAAGTTCAAAAAACTCCAATATCAACATTTGTCATGATCGTGAAACTACATGTGTAAGAGCACTTAATAAAATATTTAAACTATTGTTAAATTGACTTGATTTTTCTTGCAATTACGACATATACAATGTCAGAATTTATATTCTGATTGGCTGGCTTCTTTCCCACTATAATCCTACCCTTGGTGGTCGGGAAACAGGATGCTACAAAATATTGTTCCACAAAATATCTGATCTGATGATTCATGGTTCTTCTAAACAAATATCTACTTCGTGCAAGACGGAGCAAGTTTTAAGACAAAAAACATAAGTATGCGGCAAAATTTGATTTGCACACCACACCCCCCCACCATAAAATTAGTCCTAATTGAAAAATAGGCAAAAGATATTCCCCCTGCTGTATAAATGGTTAAAGTTTATAATGTAATTTAGATATTCTTTTTTTTAAACTATACTTCTTATTTAAATTCTGCAACTAAATTACAGTATACGATGGGTCATTACCATAATAAAATGGCACTAAGCTGGCGATACAGTAATCTGTTGATAATTAAGTCAAATGTATTTTGTAACAGATGAGTACATTTTATGCTTTTATATACGTTTACTATTACTGAACATACTACATCAATTGTTTCCAATTATTATTTGAACAATTTAAATTTAAAATACAACATTTTCCCGATTATTTTAACTGTTACTTCAAATTATTATATTTCAATAACACAGCATATGTTAAAAGAAAACGAGGGTTAAGTTGATTTGAAACCTCCCACACCTTTATTTATGACCATTATGCAGAGAAACATACCCTGTGAATACTGTGGTAGATTAGTTGACCTCCGTAGTCCCATATCCGTAATGAATTATCCATTATAGATTCGCCTTTCATTACTTGTACAATCTTTGTTAACACACTGGCATCTATCCTTTTCAACTGTGAATCTTCAAAGAAAAATTTATTTATTTTTGGATATTAAAATAAAGGAATGCATTGTGTAAATTTAACATCTGGTATCATCACCAATACAAAGCATCTTTAGTATCATCAACATCATTCCCATTAAATATTATAATCACTGACATCATTATTAACTCGTCTTCACCACCACCATATACCATCAACATCAGCATCTTTACAATCACCATATTCTTCATTGAATCCTTATTATTACTCTCATCATTCCATCACTATTATTAATCATTACAACTCCAATCATCAGTGTGCCCATCACCATTACCCTCATCATCAATATATTTACCATCACTATTAATCATGACATTACCATCTATAATAAGAATAATAATATTATTATTATTATTATTATTATTAATATTATTATTAATGATGATAATAAAATCAATGATAATGTTTTGCCAAACCAACATCAAAATAAAAATAACAATAATAATAATAACTATTCAGAAACTTGAGTGGACTTGAGGACTTGGACTTAAACTTAGTGTATGTTGCTGATCAAACTGCAAATCGCATACATGTTTACAACATGGAGAACAACTTAAAGGTGAGAACTATTGGATCCAAGGGTGGTATTGGTGGACAAATGAATGGACCTTCAGATGTTGCAGTCACAAAAGAAGGGAGCATCGTAGTGGCTGACACTCACAATCACAGAGTACAATTATTTGGTACTGAGGGTCAATTTGTTAAAGTGCTTATTGGTGGAGGGGATGAAGATGGTATGGTAATAAGGCCCTCTAGGTCACAATAACAGGAATGTTCTTGGCCATAGTGTCTAAAGCTAAATGAAATAATACCGTCAATACAATAAAACTCACGTATTAAATTCAACTGTGCCTAAGTCGAATAACTTCTCCATCGATCTTATTTTACACGCCAATTTGTTGTGTTTTCCATTAATTAACAATCTGTAAAGCTTTGTGTACACTAACAAATTTCATAAAAGAAAGCTTCGCATAAAATTTGATAACATAAAGTTGAACACATTTTAGATACAATTTGATAATATGTGATATGACGTCATCGTACCCATATATGGGCACATCGCATTTTTTTGTCACATAAAATTTGATAGTGTAGACAATGCTTAAATCAAACAATATTTCAATAGCATTTTGAATTCGACTTCAAGTTCAAGCTTAATTAAGTTATGATAATATTAATACTTACACACTAACAATAAAGGTAAACACTAAAGCAATCTTGCTATATATGACAACAGCATTAGCTCTTTGTTTCATTCATTTAAAAAAACAGTCAGTGATTTTGAAAATAAATGATATAAGGATGCTTAAATTAATTTTTGTAAAGAGCTTTAAAGGTTTGTTTATTTCATCATACCTTCCACTGGTGATGCTGATGCAGTTTCCTGAAATGAAATGATTAATCTGATTAATACCAAAAACCTTACATGGAAACAGTCTTAGCTTTTTAGTTTTTCTACCAATCAGCAGCAAGTCTCACTTTTCAATCATATAAGTATTTCCTTGATTGGACCCTCTGCAAAGGCCTGTTTATACTTGCAACAATAACAAATAAGGATTGATTTGTCAAAATATTTTTTTTATCGTATACACGATAAGTCATTATCAATCATCTTAGTGTAAAAACTTTTCTCATTTCTTTTATTTTCTATATGAACAATTGCTACTTAGATCTTATCTTTATCATTGTAAGTATAATTCTTCTGATGATTGTAATGGCTTGATGTTAATAAGTTAATGTAAATATAAATATATCTATGTGTGTGCTGTCTCTTATACACATCTAGATGTGTATAAGAGACAGACATGGAGAACATATGTACATTATTTGTGTAGATAGGGTGAGGAATGTTTATGATTTATTTAAGATCTAAATTGTGTTTTCTTTAGTTAAAGTCCTTTCATTTGTTTAGCTTTAAGTTGTTGTTTTACTCTTTTTTCATTAGTTTGACTGCGCCACTTTCTTGTGTGCTGCCACTGATGTAAAAGTGTAATGTCAAATAAATATTATTATTATTATAAACCTTTAATCAAATTTTTAAAATATCAAAAATAAAATTAAATATTACTTGAGCTGTAATATCATTTGTACTGGTAATAATTGTGCTACTTTGAAAACATTGAATTAAAATTACGATAATAACCGAGTATTAAAATAAACAAATATTTCCTAGCAAAATCAATAAGACTACTACGACCATCATTAACATCTATACAATCATTATTTTAAATAAATTATCAAAAAATGAACTTTGATATTACTTTAGATGTTCCAACATTGGTACTGGTATCTGTTTTCCTTCGTTTTGTTTTTTCAACAGCAGATACATCTGAAACAACATTTTCTGATGTAAAAATTTGGAATAAATAAAATATAACTAAACTGTTTACATTGCATTATTTACGACCAGGTCATAAGATTTTGAGCAGATCTAAGGGCACCCTCTATCTGATTTATCTCACACACTCACATATTGTTCAATTAAATTTAGTTTTTATCGCCTCCTCTGCCTTGATGCTTTTGGTAGAACCATTTTTCAAATAAGGAAAACAAAATATTTCTAACATATTTTTTCTGCCCTCCCCTGAAAAACCTATTAAAAATTAAGTTCCCCAGACAACATATTAAAAAGTCTTGCCAAAGAACAGCTATACTCTTCCCATAATTTGGGTAGCTGATAATCATATTAGAAATATTCAAACAAAAGATATAGTTTAAATTTTAAGATACAAGAAATATTATAAAACATTACTATGGAGTATCATTATATTGAATACATTTAGCAGAAAGAGACAGCTAGGCAGATACACAATACAGAGGTAGAAATAAGCTTCACTCTCTTGCGCATACACAAAAACTTAATACGCTTTTTTCATAATGATCAAATATATTGAAAAGTTGAATCTCAAAATGTCTTGGTCTCTTTTGGGAATTACTGTTTTTTTTTTTTTTTTTTTTTTTTTTAAAGGCCTTTGTGATATAAAAATGAATTTGGTTTGTATGCTTACATTTGCAATCTGGTATGTTAACAACAGTTACAGTATACAAATTAATCAAAGAAAACTTTTATATTTTTACTGTATTTTTACTGTATAAACAAGAAGTTATTTGCCTTGATAAATAAAAACATACCATCACTGGAAAGTCTTCTCTTTTGGTCACCAATTGGTTCCAATATTTTTGAACTATTCGTCTGATTTTGTTCTTCTGAAAACAACAAAAAATGGGTTAGAAAGACATACTAGAACATAACTTTACAACAGTGGCACACTAAAAATCCAGGTACAGTAAATACAAAAACTACAAAGAATTAAATATAATTATTGCTAACTCATGCAGAATGCTGAAAGTTACAGAATGGTATCCAAGAGAAGGAAAATGGAAAGGGGATGACCAAAGAGAAGATCGATGAATGACCTAAAAGCAGACACTCACAAGATCAATGTTTGTACCCAAAGACAGAAAAAAACAGAAGAATATAATAGAGGAGGGATACTCCAGTAGTGGAAGGACATATCCTGAATGAAATGAAACAAAATGTAACTTCTAATAAAGTGTATTAACATACCATCCTTCTGAGTTTTTCTCTTTTTATGATCACTTGGCCCTTCTAAAAACAAAATAATACATCATGTTAAACTGGTTTGGTGCTTTTGGATTTAACCAAGTGCAATGAGCGAGCAGTCACGCCAGCATGCAGTAACAATCAATCATTCAATTTTTTTTCTTTTTGAAAAAATTTAATAATAATAATAATGACAATCAGCGTAATAATGATATAGGTGAAGTTATTGGTGATCCGCTCCGCTAGCGGATCACCTCTTGTTATTGTCAGAGATCCTTATTTTTTTTAAATTCTAGCTTCTCCCCATTTCTTGTTAGCACGATATCTAAAAATTGGCATGAGATTCATACATGCACGCTTCAACAAACATTTAGCTTGGCCTGGTATAGTCACAATAAGGTTTTCAAAGTGTGCAGTTACATTATCGATCATATCAGCCTAACCAATTGCCATTTCGAAATCGTATTAAGTGAGCATTAACTTCAAGTCAATGTTAAGTGTAATGTACCCTAATTTTACGCGTGCGCATCAGAACGCGCGCGTACGCGTGCTTCAAAATTTTAAAATGCTCGGAATCACTTTTCGACTAAATTAGAGCACGTTTCAGGCCATTTTGAGGATTTTAAATTTTTTTTGGAATTTACCACTACGCGTGCGCATTTTTACGCGCGCAGCATGTACGGAAGCTATAAATTAAGTTTTTTGTCACATTTTAAGTTTCTGACATTGTTTTTACAAGTTTCCGATCCTTTCAATCACCTTATGGCCAATAACAATGTCATACGCACGCATCAAACATAGTGAACTTTGTGCGCATTTGTGCCGATATACAGTGGAATTTTGCTAAAATCAGGCCTAATTTTAAACAGTTACAGCTCTTTAGGATGAAAGGTGGCCCCCAATTTTTATTACATATTCTGAAAGCACATGAGTTTTAAATATGATTTTATAGGTCATAATGGCTGATCGGACATTATGACGTCATCATATTGCCATCTGAATTCAACAAACTGAATATTATCGATGACATCATTTTAACAAATGCGCATTTGAGCGTATCTCCCTTATTCTTGATCGATTGTCTTCCAACTTTGAGTATGTTGTAGCTGAGGCAATTCTCTTTCATATATGTGACATATTTTTACATTTTAATGATGTCATCATGGTCAAATATAGGGTTTTACTTACCCCCCTCATCTTTCTTTTGTCAAACCTTTGATGACCCTATAATCACCTTAATCAGTTGTGATTTCTGAATCATATTTAGTGGGTATAAACTTCAGGTCATGGTTAAATGTTATGTACATTATATTTTTGTGCGCGCGTAATAACGCGAGCATTCGCATGCGTCAAAATTAATATATGCTTTATATCATGTCTTTTTTTTAATCAGTTATAGCTCCTTAGGATGAAAGGTGACCCCTAACTTTTATTACATATTCTGAAAGCATATGAGCTGTAGATATGATTTTATATATCATAATAGCTGATCGGACATTGTGACGTCACCATATTGCCATCTGAAGTCAAAAAACTGAATTTTTATATATGATAAATACTATTAATGATCATTACTCCTTCACCAACAAGCGTTTGTAAATGAAAATTGATACATATATATCTCATATCAGGAGACAACAGTGACATTAAGATGCGCACGTGCGTCATGACGTGCACGTACGCATGAGTAAATCTTTTAAAATTCTCAAAATTTTTTTTTAACAAACTAAATTAGCGTATTTTGCCATTATCAGCATTTAAATATTGTTCAATCCGCATCGCGCCCACTTCCTCATGTGTCAAAGAGGGGCGGATCACCTAACTCGTCCTCAGTGACGAGTTCAAATCTAGTTTTAAACGACAGCAATGACAGTTGTTTATTCCGCTTCGCCTTGATTTTTCATGTTGTTTATATACCTTTTGATTTGTTATACTGTAATTTGTGGTTGTTTTGCAAAATATATAAAAATACACACACAAGGTTGCATCTGCAAACACAGTAAGCAAATAAAAATGCACTTTGAAACCAGTCTTAAAATAATACAAATGTTGAATATGGAGAATAAGAAATGAAAGATTAACTTATATCAGATTCTTTATTATTAAAACACACACTTGTCGCACGCCGATATTGAATTTAACTTCACTCGATTCGGATTTACATATCTTAAGAAATTGTGATCTATTTGTCAAAAAGTAAAACAGCCAGTTTAAAAAAGCAGTGTTAAAATTGAGATTAATTAATTTGTTATACAACTTGACTAGTGAAACGTATTAAAAGCAGACCTAAAATCCAAGAATAGCATGTCTATTTGGTTTATATACATAACAACATTATGATACAACAAGAAGACTGCATCCTCAGTAGACTTTTTCTGTCTGTATGTAAATTGGTATGGATCTAGACAGGTAACAGGTTAATTGATTTGAATTCAGTATTATACGTTCAAAGCTAATCATAATGCAAGAAACATATATTGTTGATTATAAATATTAACTTGTTGATATTCGTTTTAAAAAATCCCAAAGGATTAGGTTTTGTGACTGGAAGGAACAATAAAAGAACTTTATTAAAATTACAAGTTTAAGTTAATTTTAATATAAACATAAAGTAGTTTTTTTGCTATTAAAATCATACCTTTGTATTCCGGACTTGACACGACTTCCTACAAAAAAAAATGAAATAACGGACTGGTTATTTCTGTCATATATATTCTGATTTTTAATAGCTCACTTAAGTAGGATTGTAATTAGCTTCCTGTGTTATGCAACTGCTGGGCTATTTAGAGCAGTTTTCAAGCTATTGTTTCAAGTTTGATTTGATAAAAACATGACTGTGGAAAACAGTTTTGGGACTTCAATGCCCTCACTCCTACTTACTATTTAAAATTTGTGTTCTTCACTAACAATTTAATAATTCATTAAACAAAAAACAAAAAATACTCCAGCCCACATACATTTAACATGTAATTCTTTTTCAATACCTGCTTGCAGTTAACTCTTCAACTTCTTGTCTTATATCATTTCCCCATGTTAAGTTGCTGTGCAATATCCAATTGCACGGCAATGGTGAAATGATTTTGGAAAAAGAACTTCTAAATATTGTTCTGTTAAACTATGGAATAATCTGCCATCAGACCTTTGTAGTAATATTCATTCACTTTCCTTACAATCCTTTAAAAACCTCATTTAATTTCCCTTTTTGTTTTTTCTTTCCTGTTTCTTGTGTGTGTGTGTGTGTGTGTGTGTGTGCTGTCTCTTATACACATCTAGATGTGTATAAGAGACAGATACTGGACCTCAGGGAAGAACAGTGTAACAACACTGACTAGAGTATCCAGAATAAAGAAAGATTTCTATCTAAATTCTAAATGGTAAGTTTCTTTCTTTTTGTATATATAAATTCATTTCTGATTTGAATAACTTGTTGGTTTGTTTGCAACTTACCATTTTTTGTAAACCCTCTGCTGCATTTGATGCAAGAGCATTTTCATGCTCGTCTTTAAACTCATCTTCTGTTAAAAGAGAGTAGTTTTTATATTATTAAGATGAAAGTAACAATAAAATTAAGGTAAAAAATTACACAAATCATGTATTTATGGAATAGACAACAATTAAATACTGCACAAACTGTTACAGCACCTCCCTGAAATACTGCTGTTCTACTGGGTCGCAGCATTCAAATATGAAGTTGACACACATGAAATTAACTGCTTTCAATTCAATTTTAAATGCTTTCAACATTATTACCCTTGATCAATACAATAATTTTAGCAAACATGTAAATGTGCAACTACTTCCACTGACTCCCTGATAAGTATTCATAGAATGCTGTTGCACATAGACAATTACATTTAATATCCTACCATGGTGGAGAAAAACAACAGAAGAAAAATAGAATACTGCAAAAAAACTGAAAGTCTGGGGTTCAAACCAGTGAACTCAAGATAGCAAGCATGAACTACATGTTTTAGTGTTTTCTTATTATTTACAATTTTATGTTTGAGAGCAGCAAAACCTGTGTATAAAAGCAAATGATTTATTCCGATTTCACGTTGTGTCTTAATTTTTTTATGTTGTTTATATTGTTAAATTTTTCATTTGTTATCATTTGTGGTTGTCTTTGGAAATATGAAATAAATATTTAAAAATATACACACAAAGTTAATGCATGATATGTCTGCAAACAAAGTGATGGAGAAACAATAAAATCTTAGTAGTAACAACAACTCTATCGTTTTCAATGATTATGATATCATTTGAATTGACTTGTCAGACTATTTTCAGGCCAGCGGAATGTTTTTTAAAGTGAATCATGCAGACCTGGAATCAAACCTAGGGGGTGGGGGGGTCAACATTTTCCCCAAAAACGAAAGGGGATCCAGGGTCCTCCCCCGGGGAAATGTTGATTTCTAGATGGTGAGAAATTACCTTTCTCGACTTTTGAGCTAGATGTATGACTTTATTCTTCAAAATTCAAGGTTTTCCCCCTCTTGAAAACGGTCAGCTAAACTTTCTCAAAAGGGGGTCTGGGGTTCTCTCCAGGGAAAATTTTAATTCCTAGATGGCGGGAAATGAGCTTTTCCGACTCCTGAGGTGTCTTAATACATTTAAGTTCTTCAAAACTCAAGGTTTGCTTTCTTGAAAACGGTCAAGTAAATTTTTCCACTTGTTACTACAGTAAATAGGCCTTACGTGTGTATACACACATAAAAAAAATATTGAGTAGTTGCATACAATTTTTTTTTTCTTCATGAATCGATATATCCCAGAAAAAAAGGGAGTTCGGGGTTCTCCCCCGGGAAAAATTTTGATTCCTGGAAGGCCGAAAATGAGTATTCCCAACTTCTGAGTTGTTTTTAATTTCTTCAAAATTCAATGAATCAATGAACCCCAAAGAAAAAGGGGGTCTGGGTTCCCCCGGGAGAATTTCGATTTCTAGAATGCGTGAAAGGAGCTTTCCTGACTCCTGAAATGTCTTTTAAATGACTTTTTAAGTTCTTCAAAATTCAAGGTTTACCCCTTATGAAAACAATCATGTAAATTTTTCTCATTTTTTATTTTATGTATGTATACATACATAAAAAAATGATTAGTTGCATGCATATTCTTTTTTCCATGAATAGATAAATCCCCCCAAAAAAGGGTGGTCCTTAAAAGGTAGGTCTAGAATTATTTTTTTCCTTTTTCTTTTGTTGCCCAAGGGAGGCGTCGGGACCCATTACCCCTCCCCCAGATCCACCAGCGTGAATTGCGAGAAAATGAAACTCGGTCTGTAACTGGATAAACATTCTCTTTCCCATCCTTCTCCTCCTTCCCTCTTTCTTTTCTTGCATTTCTTTCCGATCATACAAAAATCTCGGAACGGGGAGAAAGTGGGCTTCTCCCCACAAGTTGATCAACTTGTTGATTTTCTTTTTAAAAAATTACATAGGAATAAGTTACATGTTTTGTGAATGATAGGACTTACATGATGAATGACAAATATTAGAAAATTGATCAAAAAATGGTTTAAAATTAATTGTAATTATAAACATAGTTTTTGCTATGACAAAATCATACCTGTGTATTCTGGACCTGATAACACTTCCTACAAAAAAATATTAAAAAAAGAATTGATTATTTCTGTCATATATATTCTGATATTTAATAACTTACGGTATGTTCACATACGGCGTAAGACTGGCGTAGCTTACGCCAGTGTAAGCTAATCAACTGAAAATAATTCCAAAGTGTTCACACAAACAGCGTTCGCTATATTAATGCTGGCATTAAACTAGTAGTAATATAGGCCTATGGGGGAATAGTTTTCAGTTTTATATATTGTATGGGTTCTTAATTGTAGTAAAATATTCACTTTTAAATAGTGATATGATTATTGTATTTTAAATGAACAATTTTACTTCTGATTTTTCAGCTAGCATTGTGGAACAATTGTTGGTGTTGCAAATTTAATAGACAGTCTAAATAGGTTAAAATATCTTACAAAACACAATCAACAAATCATATACATTATAACTAAGTAAAATGCAATAGAAAAAGAGCCCCTTTACCATTTCATTTATAGAGAGCACAGGAAAGAGATCAAAGTAACATCTCTTGAAATGAGGTCAAATCATTCAAGCATCACTGGCGTTAGCTCAGTAGCGTTAGCTAATCAGGGGTATGCAGGTAGTGTGAGTGGCATAAGCAATGCCACTGCCTAGTTCACATACAAAGGCATACACTACGCCAGGCTTACGCCAGCCTTACGCTGTGTGTGAGAACATACCCTTAATTAGATTAACTGGGGCGGATGTAGCATTTGGCGGTAGGGGGTTCGTGCAGGGGCGCAGGTCTGTTTTGAAAGGTGGGGCACGTTTCGTGGAAATAGTAAATGACACTTTTTATAGTAAAATTCATCATCATCACATCACCATTGATTAGTCTTATGAAGTGCTAAAGAATTCTCATGATATGTTATCAGCGATTTTCAGCAACCACAGAGACCTAATTAACACATGTGATGAAAATAAAACTTAAAACATTGTCTTTGATGTGTTTTGTAGGACCAACCTACTTCAAAGATGTGAGTTCACAGCCACCTCATCCCCACCATGGTTGAGGCTACTATAGAAAAAAAAAACTTAAAAACATTGTCTTTGATGTATCTACTTCAAAACTTTGAGTCCACATCCACCTCAGCCCCACTATAGTTGGGGCTGAGATTATATCATTTGGGGAAATAGTACCCCTAGACTGCCAGACATGATTATGTTTTACAGTAAAATTCATCATAATAGATCTAATTAATCATTGTGATGTACCACAAAAAATTAAACTAAATTGTCTTTCATGTATTTACTTAAACCATAAAGAAAGAAAATGTGCCAAAAACTAATCTTATCTTTGCACGCTTTCTCTCATATTTCTCAAATTATAATAAAGGCATGCACACTTGAGTCATGTATTGTAGGTAATTTATATGTTTGTGGGCAGAGATACTGGTATGTTGTTATAAAATAAGATATACTCTGGCTGTGTAGCGCTTTTTCGTTAAAAAACTTGGATTATTTATGCAGTTTATTTCAACAATTTTCAGTCATCTTCTTGAAATTGCATTGTGGACGAAAATTGAGATGGACCAACCCCCTCCCTTAAAAATATGTGGGGGGACATGTATGGGGACATGTATGAGAGTCCACACCATGGACCTCTGGGTGCCCAGAAATTGCACTCTCATGCCTTAAAAATCTTACAAATAATTCATGTCAACAATACAATAAAACAATTAATTCTCACAATTACCCCCTTTTCCACCCTGAGTGGCTGAGTAAAACCATTTTGGGGTTTTAATCATGAAATTCCAATGTCCATCTCCTACTTGTCAATTAAAAATTGTAAGTTAATCTGTCATTCTTTTTCCATACCAAATTGCAGTTAAGTCTTAATTCCTTTAACCAAGTTAAAATCTATGTGGTAAGTTTGCAACTTTCTTGTTGTCTATTTCTGATTTGAATAAGCTTACTGGTTTGTTTGAAACTTACTGTTTTTTGTAGATTCTCTGCTACTTTCGATGCAAGCGCATTTTCATGCTGGTCTTTGATGTCATCTTCTGTTAAAAGGAGATTAATTTTTATATTAGGATGAAAGTAACAATAAAATTAATTAAAAATTACATAGATCAATTGTGATGTATTCATAATTAGACAATTAAATACTGTACAAACTGTTACAGCACCTCCCTGAAAACACTACTGGGTTACTGGGTCGCAGCATTCAAATGTGAAGTTGACAAATTAATAACTTAAAATGCTTGCAACATTATTACATAATATACATAATACATAATATTGACAAACATGTAAAATTTGCAACTATTTCCACTCCCTGAGTATTCCTAGAGTTCACTGTGGTTTCTAAGGTATAAATTAAGTAGTGTCCCCTCAATTCCATACCGTCGCGCTGGTGAGCTCACAAATGCGCAACCACACGGAAGTTAACAACGTTGAGCGTTTACAGAAAAAAATCTGTAGAAATACATCACAGAATACAGCCAATAGAAATTAGATTTTACAGGTTTCGACGAAAAAATCATGAATATTTATTTGACATACCCAGGCACCTGTTTATCATGCAAAATCAACTGGAGCTTGAAATGATGTGGGAGAAAGGGTAAATCCAAATTGGCATTTTTATGTTAAAAAGGTAGACAGAACATTTTTATTATCTTTTTTTATCTTATTTTGCTGTTAAATGTAATTCCCCATATACTGTAACATGTTGATACCAGTGTGATCCTTAATCATCATAAAAACCATCACTGTTGTAATCATCAAAGCTGATTTTTTTTTTTTATGACGACAATGTTGGGGCCTAAATTCAGTATCTTTAACAGTGCATGGGTTTCGCTAGCCTACGTATGCAGCATAAAATGGGTATAGGGTATAGGCCCTATAAGATTAACTGGTACCTGGAATTGGTAATTAATTACATACGATCTTGCTGTATTAATTTTTTAATAAGATATTATTACACGTGTTTCGCTAGCCTACGTAGGCAGCATAGAACTTTACAGGGTGTAGGCCCTATAAGATTAATTGGTACCTGGAATTTGTAATTAATTACATACTTTTTTAATTTTTATTTTTTTTAAAAAGCAAGATTATTATTGTTATTATTACT